TTCCACTTTGCGGATGAGATGCTATTCCGGGTATGGTTTCGAATCCCCTTACACTTCTAAATGCACAACTGCAGGAATTTTATTCGATAACAAGGAAAATATTGAGGGATTTTTTCTTCGAAATACTATGCCCTTTTTATTTAAATCGTTTATCAAACTCGTTATACGAAAGAACATTCTTCTTTATCGGTGAGATTCCTCAAGCCATAAGTGTACGCTGGTGACATTGTAATGTCAAATCAAATGGAATTAACCGTGTACCAAATGTAAAATTAGTAATTATCGTGGTTACTAATATTATGAATAAAATAACTACGATGCTATATTGAATATTAACGTAAACATTTAAAACCTTCTAAAAGTAAACACTGAAAAAAGATTTGGGACTTCTGTATTGCTAGATTGTAATAATAAACAACCTGGAGTAAACATGACGTTTTTGAAGTTTGGTTATTTAAAACGATAACTTTATAAAATTTGCACTGTTCAATGGGATTATAGAAGGTGAAGTATTTTTTCACTTTGTCTTGTAGTAAGTTCCAGCCTTGTTATCTGAAAAGCTGCTAAATCATAGATAGTTTCCTAATTTAGAGGTTAGAGAGCCAGCTTCGTCGGATAAGTTATATTTATTACTTAATGGGTCTGATTGTTTAATAGCCTATTATATTTCTTCTTCTGTATCATTAAAAGAAAACAATATCCACAACTGACTGAAGACAGTGAATTGAAGTTCAGGTGTGAGGTTTAGCACCTACATCTGTCCGTAGGGTTAATTTTATTTCACGTGGTTTACAGGTGCTCTATTCAGTTTATCTCCACTACAGTATTTCTTTCTTATTTACCTGAGAGTCCCAAGTTCGAATCTAGTCGCCGAACATGTGACGGTCCATCCTACTATTTATATAAGTTTAACATAACAGCAAATGTACATCGTTTCGACAAGGTTTTGTCATCAACAGGTACCTGATGATGACAAAACCTTGTCGAAACGTTGTACATTTTCTGTTATATTAAACTTATATTAAAGGTTTTCTTCATTACCCATTCAAGCCGTCTCCAGCCATTATTAGTCTTAAAAGTGGGTTCCTCGTCATCGAATCCTAATATTTGTTGGTAGAGAGTAGCCCAAGAGTTGTCGATGGGCGGTGTGGACTAGCTGCCCTCCCTCTAGTCTATTACTTCAAAATAAGGGTGGCAACTAACGTAGATAGTCCTCGAATAGCTTTGCGTAAAATTCAAAACAAACAAACAAACTTTTTTGTTCAGATAAATGGGTATCAGGAATTATTGATTCTTTATCTACTCTCTGTAGCTAGGGCGGCTGTGGTCTACTGGACAGCGTGGCGGACTGTGAATTTAAGGATTCATGGTATACGTCTCGTTGCCGCAAGATCATGCTCGCAGTTTTTTGCCGATGATACTTTATGAATGATGATAAGAACAACCCGAGTTGGCAGTAGCTGTTGTCTACTATCTGCCTTCCATCTAGTCTAGTATTGTAAAATTAGGGACGAATAGTGTGAACAACCTTGTGTAACTTTGCTCAAACTTCAAAAAACAGATTCTGTAGCTTGTGTCCTGGTTTTGTCTGCCTATGTATATAAAACTGGATTTTTTATTTTATATGCTATATATATTTCACATAAACCGACAAGATACAGAGCTAATACGAGTGCAATATAAAAACAAGTGTATTGCTAGGTCTTTCATATAAAAGGTAATAATAACATTATATTTTAATACTAGAAGAAAAATAGCAAATTTTCGTGTTTTAAGGTCTTTTATTTTAGTATTAAAATGTCTGCTATGCACCAGTGTGCACTACAGAAATTAAAAAAAAAACATTATATTATGATTTTTCTTAAAGTATAGTTTTAACTATCTTAACACCACAGAATGTAGCATATGTTTAATACCAAAATTATAGTTTTAACTGTCTTAACAGTACAAAATGTAGCATATGTTTAATATCAAAATTAAATTTTTTATCTGTCTTAACACTACAGAATGTAGCAGATGTTTAATACCCAAAATTATACTTTTAGTTGTCTTAACATTACAGAATGTAGCATATGTTTAATACCAAAAATTATACTTTTAGCTGTCTTAACACTACAGAATGTAGCATAGGTTTAATACCACAGGTGTTATCTGTAGCTGTCACACACTCACTTTTCTGGCTCACTAATCGCTACTGTTGCCAGATACTCTGTATTGTAAATTATACGAATGGCCTTTCAAATACGATCATGACAAATGGGATCAAGCCAAACTAACATGTTGTACTGGCCTAAGAGGTTAAAACGCAAAACAAAGGAAAAGAACTAAACAGATTTTACTTAGTTTCGACCACTTTTGTCTAAGGTTTACCTGTAGGAATTGTAAACCGCCTGTTAATTACGCCAATATGATTAATATTATGCGTTAATATAAATATTATGTTTGAGAATTTCCGTAATTAAAGGATATAGTAACATCTCCCAGTGTATTTTAGGTGTTGATTATGTATAAACGCCACTGCTAAAACAATTAATTATTGATGTTTTAGACACATTAAACTTTGCACACCAAAAAATTCGAATGGCATTTACTAATCGACAATAGCTCTTTGTTCATAAATTACTGTTGAATAGCAATGGATTTGTTTTCAGCAAATCACAGTGAATTTAGATTTGTTGAAAGTGTACTGTATTGTTATATATCTCAGTCCACTAAGTATTTTAAATATCTCGGACACACTTCTGCAACAAAAGCTTATAATTATGTAGAAATGTACCAAAAACACCTTCATCGTAACTGAGTTAGAAATTACGAGGCTGTAGAGAGTCTCATATTACAGATGGGAATTTTGTCTTTGTTTATCTTATCAGTGGGTAAATATACAGCAGCTACAACGTGGGTAAGAGAAGCTTGCCACTGTTCAAGAAAATCTACAAATGTCATCAATACTTAGGTTATTCTGATGGTTTTTACAATATTTGTGACGATGTATATCAAATAAAGAAAGTCATTGGTGGTAAGTTTAATGGATATTTTTTGGTATTCATTCCTTCTAGATAGCCAGGTGGTTCGAATCCTCGTCCCACCAAACATGCTTGCCCTTTGAGCCGTGGAGGCGTTAAAATGTGACGATCAATCCCATTATTCGTTGGTAAAACAGTAGCCTAAGAGTTGACGGCGAGTGGTGACGACTAGCTGTCCTTCGCTATTAAATTAAGGACAGCTAGCACATATAGTCCTCGTGTAGCTTTGCGAGAAATTCAAAACAAACATTCTTTTTAAAAATCCTTAGAACGTTAACCAACACAAAAGCATCCAAAGTCAAATAAAATTATCAATAAGTTAAAAATTGTGAAATAAGTGTTAATCTCTTGTGACACTATGTTCACGCTGGCGTTTTAATTTACAAGAAGCCATCACACTAGACAAGCATCGTTTATAGTGGTATATGTATATTAACTAGTGACACTCCTCATCATAGACCAAACTAAACTGATGAAAATTAGTGTAAGTGAAAACTGAAATTTTCGGCTGGTTGTTATCTGATGTCAATTTTTCTGTATAATTGAAAGTGTAACCTGTGCGTGAGTGTGTACGTGCGTGGGAAGCTTTCTCAGCTTCATTAAACTGTGCAAGAATTAGAGTAGGAGTAAGGAAGTACGGATGATGTCCCCATATGCGTAAGGAAGGGGTGAGTATAGATAGTACTATGTAATGCAAAGGTATTGGGGAAATGGACCTGTCACCCCTCGGAGCTTCATCTCATACAAAAATGCTTATTTGCTAAGTCTTTTTTGTGTGAATTTCGTCAATTGTTTACAGACACTTAAGAATACCAGTACTTTCACCCTGTTGAGTTTTAATACTTGCCCCCAATACCCACGCTTTGAAAGCGTCGCTAAATCTGGTGTTTCTTACTAAATAAGTCGATCGGTTTGTCATTTTTTTCAGACCATTCAGCTCAAAGTGTATTTTGTACTAGAGGTGTTTGGTAGGTATCATGTGTTGTGGAATATGTTTAATCTACCTAAGTTTAACCTCGCAGCCATCGAGACGCTTCACACGGCCATCAGTTTCGTTCAGAACTCTACGTACCTAATCTCATATGTGAGTCATCTACACAGGTTACTTAATTGTTTTAATTACTATATATACACAGCGCTGTCTTTATATTTTATAAACTTTGTGCATTCAAATCTAGATTATCACGTCCAAAAAAACATGTTCCGAGACGAAGCATAAGTTTCCCTCTGGTATAAAGAAATAGTATTATCTTTAAATATGTTATTTTCGAAAATTTTTTGGTTCGTAATGTTATTTCCAGTAAACGTGGATGCAAAGGTAAGAAAAATATTAATTTCAGAACAGTTTTATTTGCGAGTTGCATTTATCAAATACATAAACAGCAGTGGTTTAACACAAGTTGAAGAAAAGAAATACATGAGACATATTCAAATGTTTGGGCTATGTAATCAATAAACTTTCATACTTTGTACATCTAGAACAATATGCAATACAAAACAAATACAGTAATACATAGAAATCAGCAAGTTATCACAGTATGCGTCATCAAGGTCAAGACCACGAGAAGAGGAGGAGGAGGTGCAACCGTTACTTGTACAAAATGTTATAAGACGTTTACAAAATTTTGAAATTACAATTGTCTCCATTTGAAAGCAATAATAGTAATATTAGCAAAGTATCATTTAACCCTCTATTGCACGTTGTAACGTAAAGGTAACAAACCTATCTTTGTTACTAAATACACATGTAAATGTTTCATTCCTGTTGTTGAAAGCTCTTACTTCTATGTATCACATACTAAGTACAACATAGAGCTATTTTGTTGGTTTCTAACTTGAACATTGTTACTTTTAGGTATACACACTTATAACTTACCAAAATATGTTTCCCAAAAACTCAAAATAAAGTAGTTTTCCATCGTATTTTCATAATATGTGCAATAAGGGGTTAATGTTGATCATACTATCATATAAAAATTAATGTTTCCATGGACCGCTACCTGGAATGATGATAATTTTCTTGTGCACACCTCCATAGTTGTAGATTTTTTTGGGTGGATAGTATGGAGGTGGAACAGGGGCAGAAGATTGGACGTTCACGTGAGCAGGGTAACTACTCTTAGTGCCTGGTTCATTGGTGTAAACACGAGCTTTGAATCCTTCGGGTCCGGCAGTGTATAGGACTTTCCTTAGGCGCCCATCCGGATCAGAAACCTTGTATGATCCACTCACGTGACCAAATCCGTCTCCTGATTCATGACGAGAGCTGAAGCCACCATATACTGGAGCGACATAACTGAAAGCGTATGGTGTTGGAACAGAAGGATAAACTGGTTGATAGGCGTATCGATGACCTAACTGTTGTCAAAGAAGACAAATAATGGGATATCAAAGAACATTCAGAATATCATTTATTGATTTTTGTAAGACAATTAGAACTGTTAAATTATAATATAGCCCCCTGCAGCGGCTCAGCGATAAGTTGTAAGATTTATAATGCTGAAAACCGGGTTTCGATACCAGTGATTGACACAGCACAGATAGCCTATTGTGTAGCTTTGTGCTTAACAATAAACATAATATTAAATTATGTTTGTTTGTTGTTTTTGAGCAAAGCAAAGTTAAGCTATTTGCTGTGTCCACCGCGGAGAATCGAACTCCGGATTTTAGCGTTGTAAGTTCGTAGACTTAGCGAGGCACAATTACATTATGAAAACAAAAGCATTCTAATTCACAACAGAAATTTTGTGTTTATAAATTCTTAAGCGACTCATTTTCTTCCATAATTAATCATATAGTTTTATCACTATACTCTAAACGTTAGAAGGCTATCAATACCTTTATAATTATCAAATATCGTGTTTTTACAAGTGATGAGAATTACTGTATTAATTCTCTGTAACTTAAAAATAATACTGGTTAAGAAAACTTTTCTTTCATACGAAACAAATATAACTCAGAACTTACAGTGTGGATAGGAAAAAGTCTGAAATAACTTCTTTGACTAGAAATTCCACCAATGAAACCAGATTCAGCCGCACCGAGAAGACACAGAATAGCCAAAACCTGATACATACAATTCAAAGTTAAACACATTAAAAGTTAAAAAATATTATCGTGTTTCTTTTTATTTCTAACCATTTATAATATTAAACATTAAAGAGAGCAACGAAAATTCTAAACAAAGTTTGTATTTGCTTTGTGATAAATAGTCTATATGAACTGTTTTGACCAATAATTGTTATTTATTTTTATGTGATTGTATCACTTGATTAAATAAATGTGATAATGTGCGTTTACTTATATAACATGCTATATATTTATAACTGTAAGATATATATAAATTTCCCACTGAGGAAATACAACTATAATCTTCGAATGGAACTGAGTAAGAATGACGACAGCTTAACTTTACAAACATTTGATCCTATGCCACCAATGTGACTTCTAACAATATTCACTGCTTTACAATAAAGACCTTTTTTTATATTTTGTTCCTACACGAGTTATAAGAAATGAAAATAGTAAAACGTAACTGTTACTTGCCTCAATCATTTTCTCTGCTTCGAAGCTTTCTTGACTCTATGAGCAACTGGATGAAGGTATTGGAAACAAAAATTTGTAAAGCTTATATATCTGAAATGAGCAGATGATTATCTGACGTCATTGATGATAAGCCAATAAAGTCTCTTTCTGGTAGATGGAAAGAGTTTAGTAATAATAATCGGATTTGAGACTTGTACTTACTGGTTTTCTAAAACATATTTTGAGAATAAAACGAAACGCTTGAATGAGAAAATGTTCTACTTATCTGTATGCATGTGACATGGACAACGATAACAAAAACAATATTCAGTACGAAACTAAAAAACAAACAAACATAAATTGTCTAGAAATTCGTTGGTCTGAGAAACTCTAAACAAAAATATTGTGTATTCAAGTAATAATCTTAAATTCATCGTTTATCATTGTGCCGTGAAATAGGCTTGTTGGAATAACTAATAAATGGTTGGGACGACAGTTTTTAATACAACAATTTACCATTCTTCCAGATCGTAAGAAAACAGTGTAAATTATGGTACGTCTAAAAGTCATTAAAGATGTTAGGAAGCTTAACTTTGATTTCAATAGTCGTGGTCTATTGATGTTACTGAGACGTGTGAGTAATCATAATTTCTATGGACAGTCTGTGATGTAATTTGAGATTTCGGATAGAAATTATAAAATTTACAAAAAAAGTATAAAATCAAATTTTAAAGATTGTGTAAAATGTTTAAATGATGCATAACTTACAGGGCTCTACATCGGTGTATGACAGTTTGTGGATAACTCAGTGAACCCTAGATGCTGTTCAAGGGGAGAGTCTGGAACTTGGAAGATTGGAGCACCCACATGGCAGCTGTCTTAGAGTTTAAAGTAATCCATCCATAAGCTGGACGGCATCTAGATGTGCAACAATTAATAATATCTCCACAGTGTAAAGTGTTACGTCATTAGTTTCACACAAATGTATAACCTATCTTGGCGTGAAAAAAGTACAAATTTCATTGGTTTTCTACATAGAAAGTGTGAAAAGGGTATATATTTCAAAATCCGAAAGAAAGTATCATTCGGCAACATTGATGCACACATGTGCAGCAGAAAAAAAGCAAGTTATTTATTTATTTCAGAGCATAGCCACATTGGGCTATCTGTCCACCGCTGGGAATCGAAACCCAGATGTTAGCGTTGTAGGTCCCTAAACTTACAGTTGTCCCCTCGGGAGAGAAATAGTTCGAGATAGATAATAAACAAAGAAAAATACTTCTAATACTAATCTGAAATAGACATATATCAAAAGTGAAACGAAAAGCTATGTCATTCATGATCATAGAATCCCTTTCGTAACGTCAAACTCATAGCTAATAGGTAATGAGATATGTCTGCGGACTTACAACGCTAGAAACTGGGTTTCGATACCCGTGATGGGCAGAGCACAGATAGCCCATTTTGCTTAATTCCAACCAAACAAAGATGAGGAATGAATGAAATGTTGTGTCGCTTCAGGTAACAAATTTACTCTTTCACATTATTAGTAAAACTTTATATATTCATATCTGATATCATACGAAAAACTCTAAGTTCCAGTATAAAAATAAGTTTAAAATTTTATATTGCGTAACAGCTTTAATACCTTCATCGACGATTTCCAACTTAAAAGGAACTAATGATAAGATTATTACATAATTTATATGTATGTGTTAATTCAACTTATAATGCTCTCACACCTCGTTAACTAAACGACTGTTCTAGCGCGATTCGTAGAAGACAGACGTTATAACGTTCTACCAATCATGTTAACGGATTTCGTACATACACAGCATTTCTGTACATGGATGTCATGCTGAAATGTTAAGTATTTATAACTGAACCATAGTAGTGATGGCGTTATTAAATGATATTTCACACTACACGGGTTTCTAGACAAATATTGATATTGCCAGCTACACATATTGAATTTCATTCACTTTTAAAATACATTTATTATTAGGATATTCAACCCCGTGATAATGTCATAATGTATTCATTATTTTGTGTTCTAAATAGCTCGGACTTTCGGTGAAAAAAATAACAAACCAACAAGTTTATGAGATATTAACAAAATTATGAATAGAAATCACTGCTATAAAATTCCCTTCAAGCCAACTAGATCGATAGATAAAATATTAATCTTTTCGCTCAACATTAGGAACGAATTCAACTAAAATACAATAGTAGCCGACATTAACACTATAAAACTAACACACGAACAAATTCTAAACTAAATTAACGTCATTTCTGTGAACTCCGCATGACAGATTCGTGATTGTTTTTATTAAAGAGGATATGATCTATTATTGTCTTCGTATTTAGATTTTACATCGGTGTGTTTATGAATTTTAATCTGCAACAATCCAACGAAATTATGATAAAATATGTTAGCATTAGGCCTATCATTAGCTTACTTAAGGCATATGTTATGATTTTTTTATATATAAGTGTTGTAAAACCTTATTACACAATATAATATAGAAGACAAAATAATTTCTTCTTAACTGTTTGAACCATTATCTCTATCTTTTTCTGTACGTAAGTGAATAAAGAAACAGAAACCAGAAGTTTACCAGAAAAAAGAAAGAAACAAAACAATGTTTGTGCTGGTCATAAACTTGTATTGTTGCTATTTTCTTCCCACATTTCGCTTAACACCAATATTTAAATAATATAAATGTATTACGTAATTTGTCCTGCTCTACTTTCTAGTCAGAGAAGAGGAGGCTGAACTAATAACTAACAATTTGAAGAATTCAAACATAACTACAATACCAGTGGCTATAACTAGCGCCGCCAACAATTTTCGCAATCTCTGTACATACATACTTAAAACGATAAAAATTACAATAATTTTAAGAAGTATTAAAAAAACATTACGTAACAAAAAGGCAAGTACAAAACACGTTAATTATCTTACTATTTTATTTGTATAACAGGATTGCGATAGAGTTTGCTCTAGAAGTGTTATATATATATATATATATTGTTTATGCTATAAATTAAACTTACTTTGAGAATACAATTACAAATCATTCACGAGCAATTAACTCAAACCCAGTACTTTGTGGGATTAGCCTAGTATTATCTTAAAAATTAGTGTAAAGTACTAATTACCCTTGAGCCTGTTTCTCTACATTGTTAGTCCTAAAATTAAAATTGGGTAAATACCCTATCATTCCTTGAAACCAATTATTCTAAACTATGCAGACTCAAATTACTTGTGAGTTCATTGCTTTTATGATTACAGGGTCATCAATATATATATGAATCACACACAAAAAAAAATAAATACAAATATCGTCAATGTTGCAGTTAATTCCATTAATTGTTACTAGGGCTTCTTATGCATAAAAAAGTTATTTTAACCAGTTTGTTTGTTCATTGAGTGATATAACAGGCAGATATATAAAAAGAATCAATATGTAAGCCCCATGGGCAGGGAATGGTATACCAAGGAGTCGATAATCTGAGTTTTAATATACACATGTTTAGTGCGATAAAAAAAGTGTGGTTATGACATCTTAATCATATTACAAACAAGTATAATAAAGAATGATAATCATCAAAGTAAAATATGGATATATTACTTTGATATACGGAAAGTTCTTGCACAGATCTTAAAATATAACGTTCATAAGTAGAATTTCTATACAATCTACACATCCTTCAGTAGGTCTGTGACATTTCCTGATTGGCTAAAGGACATGCCAATCAGTGATTGCCTTATCGGCCTACGTTGACCTGATTCATTTTATAAGCTGTACTATTTCCTATAGATCATTTTCCATACGGTTCTGCTATGATTAGTGTCTGGCGAAAAGCTTTAGCAGATATTTCCTTTGCAACATCTCAACCAACAATTGGTCCAGTTATCAACGCTATTTACAAGTTTTGAACAACTCGACTTTCAAGATCTACATATCTACATGAGCTGATGTTTACATTTATGAACGTTATGTTTTAAGATCTGTGCAAGAACTCAGCAAACAGATGTTTCCGATTATCAAAGCTATCTTCAAGTTTTATACAACGAAAAACATTTTCATGGATATATTAGTTTGTTTGTTGAACTTCGTGAAAATCTACTTACGGCTTTCTGCGTTAGCCGTCCCTAATTTTGAAGTGATAGATAAGAGGAAATGCAGCTAGCTAACACCACCCATCACCAACTCTTGGGCTGCTCTTGTCAGATTGACTAGTGAGTTTTGATTGTCACTCTTATAATGCGCCTACGGCCCAAAAATACGGAACATGATATTTTTCGCGGTAATTGGATCCTTAGTTCGGCAAGTTAACCATTGAACCATTTGGATATATCAAAACTTTTAGGTTATACAATTAGGCCTGATAAAGCATAATTCACCAAATTCTGAGCATTTTTTCCCTGTATAATAAACAGCCCACCAGTCCTGTTTTACTTTAATCGGTTGAGATAAATATAACGTCTAGAAAAGATTAAATATCGTAAAATGTTTGACAAAAGCCTTAAAAAGATACAAATT